AGATTTCTTCCTTTGAGGTCATCTCAAAAGTAAGGTCTATGCCAACAAGCTAACACCAATTCAACAGGTGAAGGATGAGATAATAAGGTATATTGGTGAGATCGAGGAGCAACTATGCAGAGACATCATCAAAAATTTTGACCATCGTGTAGAGGTGTGCCGACGAAGCTTGGTGGACATCTGGGCGATATTATTTTTCACACATAACTGTCATGACTCAAATAACACGATCCAATAGAGAAATAAATAAACTTTCACCGATAACACTGATTTATTTACTGCTGACTTTGATCCGTCTTAATGAAACACCCCTTATTAGGTTGTTCAGAAAATGTCCGATTATAGAATAACCACTTTAATTGTGATCAAATATATTGTTATAATAGTTGCACAAAGTATATTACCCATTTCTAATGACTAAAATGTATTCTTTGTTTATTTTGTATCAATCTCTTTCAGAAATTTGTTCTCAAATGGGAAATAATGACTGATTCTTTGAAGGAACCTTTTTATATATTATTATAATAGTTGTATAAAAATATATTCAGTCAGTTATGTGTCATGCGTGATACACGCTTAGGTGATGATGTATCTTTCAGTACATGACTGACGAGGCAAAAAAAATCCTGTTTTGACTGATTCAAACACTATTTAAATACATTCATTTAGGAATAAAGTTTGATTCTAAAAACGGACATTGTTTCCCGAACAACCTAATAATAAATACATATCTATGTAGAAGCAACCTAATAATAGATATATATATCTATGTAGAAACAACCTAATAATATATATATATATATATATATATATATATATATATATATATATATATGTAGAAACAATCTAATAATAAAATGTATATATATATATATATATATATATGTAGAAACAATCTAATAATAAATATGTATATATATATATATATATATATATATATATATGTAGAAACAACCTAATAATAAATATATATCCATGTAGAAACAACCTAATAATAAATATATATTATACAACATAATAATAGATATATATCTATGTAGAAACAACCCAATAATAAATATATATATATCTACGTAGAAACAACCTAACAATAAATATATATTTATGCAGAAACAACCTAATAATAGATATATATCTTTGTAGAAACAACCTAATAATATATATATATATATATATATATATATATATATATATATATATATATATATATATCTACGTAGAAACAACCTAACAATAAATATATATTTATGCAGAAACAACCTAATAATAGACATATATCTTTGTAGAAACAACCTAATAATAAATATATATATCTATGTAGAAACCTAATAATAGATATATATGTATGTAGAAACACCTAATAATACATACATACATACATATATATATATATATATATATATATATATATATATATATATATATATATATATATATATGTGTGTAGAAAGATATGAACAGAACGGGGGAAGCAATACAGAAGGAAAATGAGCAGAAGAAAGAAAAGTAATGTAAAATTATCTCAGAAAGAAGGAATAAGAATATTGGTTTCGTTTAGTTTTTAAAATGTACATGAACCTCAATGGGTTATTTAATGGCGTCAAGATTTGTATAATAAGTTAATATGAATAGAATATGTATTCATTGCAAGAAATCACTTCGTAGATCAGGTTTCATTGGCGTTTGAATTAGGGTAATATTTTAAAAAATATATTGCTGGTATTTTGTACTATAAAAATCTATTTTTCTACTTACATTGTGTTTTTAGTTCAGTTTTAGTGTTTAACTATTTGCCTATAGCTGGGACCCTAACAGGTGCTACCGCTCTGGGACAGGGTGGGCCTGGGAACAACTGTAATTAATTGGTGGTTCCAAGATCCTCAAAACTTGCCTGTCAGAGGCCTTGTTGGCGGCTGTAGTTTATCGTCATAGCCAGGACGCGGAATAAGATTTGAAAAGAAGAAAGAAAGATAGATGGTGAGATAGCTTTAAACTTCGGGATAGCTATCTATTATCCATTTACATAAGGTAAGTTAAAATAGGTTTTTTTCAGTTCTTCATTGTGTTCAAACCCTTTTTCCTCATTATTTGTCCAAGACATTTCAAATGTCTTTTTCTGTTTCTACTTGAATTGTCCTTTCATGTTCCATATTACTTAGAACTTTTCCGTTTATCATACATGATATTTTCAGCAACTTTCTGTGGAAGTAGATCTCTGTTGCTTCAAGTCTCTTCTTCATCTTTTCCTTTTATAGTTGAGGTTTGATATTACATTGCATTCAGTAAGCGTTTCTTCCTTTCTAATGAAATTTTAACCTTTAAGGCATCTATTGCTATTTTAATAAACTTCGAATTTCGGTTTCACCTTTTCGTCCTCTGCTAAAATATTCCCCATTATCGTACTTACTTGATTTTGGGAACTCCAATTCGGAGGTAGTATTGTCGGCTCTTTCTTTAGCTGACAACCTTTCATTCTATCTTCTTGCATTTTATAATTAGTCTTTTTTCCTGTTACCTTTTTACTGAGTTCCTACAGTTGCCGTTTTGTGTTTGATAGTGTTTAAACGCATCTATTTGGTTTTGCGGGTGATGTTTACACTACATACCTGTTGTGAATTCCGAGATGAAATTCGGTCGCCAATGACTGACAAACGCAAGAATGAAATATAACAAATAAATGTATTTACACAATAATACAATTGGTAATACGGTTAGTAAATCCAGAAACACGGTTAGTAGCAATAATATATATATATATATATATATATATATATATATATATATATATATATATATATATATACAGTCTGGTAACTCCAGTCTCGAAGTAGGACTTCCTTAGAGTCTATGTGCTTGTAACTGTGACTTCTACAAGCGGTTACCTCACACTATTACTCTATCTCCAACTCAATCACAATCACTGCTCTTTCTCTGACTGACTCTGGGTATTTAACGGCAGCAGTCCAGGTACACACTAGTCGAGTTCACTTGTACGATAAAGGGGTGGAACCCATAACAATACCCTTTCTCACAGATGAAATATTCGGAGACTCTTGCTGATCTATCGCTATGGTGTGTGTTCTGACGCGCTACATTCTTTAATCCCGCCATCCCTGACCTCAGATGGAACTAATATATACTATCAATTGGCAGAGATGCTATCAAAATGGTTGATTCATTATTCCACTCCAGTAAGTCTTTGAATTCTTCTGCTATACTCTATCTTTACAAGAGCCAAATCAAACTAAAAATGAAGTATTGTTGACACATCCGAAATGAATCTGTTCAATTCTTATTTGTCTATCATGATAGAATTAAAAAAAAAAGATTCACGCGGCCATGGGGATGATGGATCATTTCCCATCCTACAAAAGACATACCGTCGCAAGCCATGCGCTACTCTATTCTCATGGCAACTGCTCTGATGAGTAACATTCCTTGGTTCCACCTGATCTTTCCACCTGATGTTCGCTATGGCACGTACACAAACATGAATCATCCTTATTTACTTCGTATCATATTAATAAGAAACAAGTTCCATTTGGACAGCTTCTTCTCAGGAACTCTTGCTTTGTGAGACAGGCTCGCTGTAGGATGATTTCCTAATCACTACAGCGTTGACCTATTCTATTGTAGGGTTAGCCATTATCTTTATGACTTAGCCTCGGGAGATTCACTTGTCTTCCCTTAGGTACATATAACAAAAACCCTCTTGCTATTCTCTTAGAATTTAAATCATTTAAAGTAGACGGCATCTGAAAACGTCAAAGTGAATTTATACGTGCTTTCGTCAACGAAATCAGTGTTTGGTCTTCTTAAATTCATAGATTTTGCATGCTTTAAGATTTTTTCGCATGATCATGAGTCTTGTAATCAATTAGGTTCATAAGTGCATCAAGACAATACCAACATTGACTCATACGTATAGCACAGTCCTAAAAGCATTGACATATGTGTACCACAGACATATCAGTATTTAGCCATAAGAGCAACATAGCCGTACCAGCATTGGCTGAAAATCCATACCAGCATTGACTAATAAGTGCAACATAGCCATACCAGCATTGACTAAAAATACATAGCAGCATTGACTAATAAGTCGTACCAGCATTGATTAATAAGTGCATCATAGGCATACTAGCATTGACTAATAAGCCGTACCAGCATTGACTAATAAGTGCTTCATAGCCATAGCAGCATTCGTTCATAAGTGCACCATAGCGATACCAGTTCACTATAGTCATACAAGCATTTGATCAGGAATACACCAAAGTCATACCAGTATCCACTTATAAGTGCACTATTCCAGGCGGGTCCATACGTGCTACGCTTGGGAAGTGCACAAATCCATCTATATTCTCCCCAGCTATGCGTAAATAGCAGGGCAGTTCTATAACCTTGGATGGCAACCGGTCTAGGAGAAGGAAAAACTTTGGACTAAAAAAAACTTCCAACTATGGGTAAATAGTATGGCTGTCTGTACTCTGTTGCCATGGTTGGCAACCAAACTAAGAGAAGTTCAAGTCTGAAATTCAAATCAAGAGCTAGATTCTCTAAGACAGTCTGAAATCTGTCAACTCCTGCGACGACGTTGGTGTCAAACTGCATTGTACTCTACCTTTCCTTTGGTGTAGAGAGTAGAGAGGGGAAACGTACTGCATAGACAACTCACGATCTCTTATAAATAATGCCCAGGTTTGCAGCCTAGAGAAGGCCTAAATCTTCAGGCGCAGATCCATGGTATTTCGAGACCGATGGAGTCCTTACTATGGCAGAATGAATCAGGTTCTTCTGGGTGCGATAGATTGAGCTGACATTTTTATTCAACCATTTTATAAGTTCCTTTGAGGTTTGGAGGGGACTGTAGACCCAGTAGACCTTCAAATCTTGGTGATTCATTGATAGTGCAACTGTTATAAGATACCTGAGGTGGGATGAAAAATTCATAGGCTGACATATGAAGGAGTGATGATAGAGCTGTGAAATTCGAATGGAAAAATTCAAATGAATTCAAATGAAAAGCAATAAAAAAAGAAAAGAAAAAGAAACAGAAAGAATATAGACGTAATGAGAAAGAGTAAAGAAAGAATGAGAATAAATATGAAAAAAATAAGAAGAAAGAAAGAAAAAGATGGAAGAATCGAAAACTGAAGAAAGAAGAGAAAGAGAATAAATGGAAAAACAAAGAATGAATGAAGTAACAAAAAAGAAAGAAAGAAAGAATAACTAGTTTGAAGAACATTTTTTGAATAAAATCTTAACATCGGAAAGAGAAGATGGAATGAAAAAAAAACCGCGAGAAAAGATTGTGAGGTCAGAATGAAGGAAATAAAATAAAAAAAAAGAAGCAAATAAGAAAAAACCAAAGAAATCAATGAGAAAGAAAAGAAGGAAAGCTGAAAAAAAAAAAACAATAACAAATTGGAACAGAAATTAATGGAAGGAAAAGACTGAAAGAAAAAAAAAGTCAGTACCAGAAGAGAATGAGACTGGTAACGAAAAGATAAAAGAAAGGTTAAAGAAAAAATTGATGGATGAAGAAGAAATAACTTAGATGAAAGAAAGAACGAATAAAAATAAGAAAGAATGAAATGGTAAGAAAAGAAGAAAGAAATAAATAAAGACACTTATCAACGCGAAGAAAAATAAAGCAAACAAAAACAACAAAAAACAACAAAAAACAAACCCAAAACAGAATTAACACCTAAAAGACTAGAGGCATAATAGCAGATTTTGTGAACTAACTAAAAGGATCTTTTAAATTCCACAAGGCTTAGCACTCAACACAATGACATTAGTAAAGCTTAACAGTTTATTTTGGGGACAATTCCTTCGATAATTGTATTTACTTAGAGATAGGATCGCAGAGATAGAAATAAAAAGAAAAAGAGAGAAAGAGGGAAAAGAGTCTCTTTGTGGGATGTGTAAGTGTGGGTGTGAGTGTTTGGGGTGTGTGGGTGTGTCTGTTAGCGGAAATAAACGATGACACGAGTCAGTGGGAAGGAAGGCCAATATTTCTTTTTCTCCTTTTTGTCTCTTTTGCACTTAAATTTCTCGACTCAACCAAAGATGATATCAATCAATGTTTTGAAGTGACTAATTTCGTCTGCTGAGTAGAGACACCAATGGAGGACTCCAATCACACACCCACGCACTCGTGCGCAACCCCGACACACAAATAAAAAAATAAAAAAAACCCCAAAAACACGCACACTCACGCTCTCTCATTCAGTTGTATATATCAGGCAAACAGAGTTTGTCTGATGATAGCAAAAGCGTGAAACCTGCGGTTACGTTCGACAAAAGCGACAATATACCCTGCTGTCACTTGTGAGTTTCCAACCAAAAACAACACGGTATCGCTTCCGCACCAGTCCTATTCGCCCGATTTAGCACCTGTGGACTTACATCTCTTCTCCAAGCAGGATATGCAGCTCAAATGTCACCGTTGACAAGATCCAGAGCGAATCGCAGAGGGTCCTCGAATCACTTACGTAAAATGACTTCCAGGCCTGATTCCAAAAGTGGCAGGAACGTTGTGACTTATATATTGCTGTGCAAGGTGACTATTTCTAAGGAGAATATGTTAAATCTTCGGTAAATATATTAGTTTTTGTGTTTTATCTATCTCTCTCTCTCTATATATATATATATATATATATATATATATATATATATATATGTATATATAGCAATAAAACAAAAATTAGCTAATTTTAACACGTAATTTTTGTTTTTATTTTCCTATAAAACATACATATGCTCTGTTAAAATAAACACATCGAACTCTTTGTGGATCAGTTTTAATAATCATTATCACTAGGTTCCTCCCGGATTATACACCAACGAATCGATTACCTGTACTATATATATATATATATATATATATATATATATATATGTGTACAAATAAAGAGAAAGAACAGTCAGATTAAGAATCCACAGTTGTTTTGCATTTAGTTTTTGAAAAAAGTGTTCGATGCAAAGTAGAGCAAAATATTTTAATAATATTTTTTGTTTATGCACCATTTCATCTACTCAAAACCCAGATGTTAAGAAATTTTATATTGGAAGCACAAAAAATCTCGTCTAAACGAAGGTGGCATCAACATATTTCTTCTTTTAACAACAATGGGTACTGTAACCAATATCCCTCTCTCAATGTTTTAGCTATTTAAAATAAACCAATAAAAACTCCCACAGTAAAATGAAAAAACGAGAATTTGTAAGTCATTAAATGACCCATGTGTCTACATGAAAAGCTACATATTATTAAGTTTCCTAAAAATAATGATCTATCAAATCAGCAGAATGAACTGTAATATATAGGCATTGTATAATGTTTACTTTAAAATATAGTTAATTGGATTTTTCATAAAAATTTTAAGTATTAATATTATATATCCATTATTTTATTATATATAATGGTACATATAACATCTATTTAATTCCTTGATTTTTAGTTTTAATATTGTCATGTCTTATGCCCCATTAAAATAAGTATTGTATTTTAGGATCAAAATAATATAATATATATATATATATATATATATATATATATATATATATATATATATATATATATATATATATATATATGATGTAATCATGCTAGAGACCCCTTTAAGATACTTCTAAAGTATATAAAAAATAATTAAAAAAAAAAATCCTAAAATTAACTAGTTGTTTTTTATATATATATATATATATATATGATTATTTCATTGTATCGTAAAATTATATTCTTTACCAGAAGTAATAGTAACACGTCTAAAAGTGACAGTTCATCTAGACAAGTAACGACTAAACCACCCCCCTAACATCTAACTTATATTTTAACTCTTCAATAAATACCATTCTGTTTCAAAAATAAATCATTTTCATTAAATGTAACCTAACATCGCTTGATAATGAAACAAATTAAAGTTCCGAAACATAGAATTTTCCGTGTCGCGATGTAATATATATATATATATATATATATATATATATATGTGTGTGTGTGTGTGTGTGTGTGTGTGTGTGTGTGTGTGTGTGTGGCAAATAGATAAAGCAATATTAATATTAATTTATTTGATAACATGAAAATGTCATGCAGGATATAGTGCAAAGAATGATTCCAAATTCTGAAGGATGTTGCAATAAAAGAGAAGCAGTCAACATTGAATAAGGTAAGTTCTTCCATAGAGGATCGCATATTGAAGTGTGTTTAAACACAAATCAGACAGACACACACACATACACATATCAAAAGTTGAGTTTAACCGTTTATATCCCGTTAGCTTGAGTGAGATGAAATTGATTCCATAAAACGTGAGCATGTCGGAATCAAAAACTAGTTTGGGTAACTGCAAAAAAAAAAAAAAACAATTCTGGAAAATGAATGAAGTATCATTCGAAAGTACTCGGGAAAAATATCATAACATATGAATACTGTCATATTTACCGTTAAAACAAAACAAATTTGAAAGATTCAATAAAAAATTCATAGACAGAATTTGTCCATATTATTTACCAAAACATGTTTGAGAAAATTCTTGCAGCCAAAATACCAATTACATACATACATACATATATATATATATATATATATATATATATATACAGTGTAACCCGGATATAAGAGACCCGGATATAAGAGACCCGGATATAAGAGACCCGGATATAAGAGAGATTTTCTTTGTCCCAAATCAGAGCCTGTGTTAATGTATATGAAATAGACTAAACCCGGATATAAGAGAAACCCGGATATAAGAGACTTCTTCTCCGGTCCCGACAACTCTCTTATATCCGGGTTACACTGTATACATACATATATATATATATATATATATATATATATATATATATATATATATAATGTAAATTTATTTAAAATCTGTGGGTGAAGCTAGAACAATATTCAAATAAATTGGTATCCGAAATTGGCATATGATATGGAAAAAACTTAAAACGAAGAGTAAAGTAAAAGTAAAATAAATCCTTATGAGCAAGTACTACCTACCTAGATTTCTTCACATTGCACCATTAGGGTGAACTGGCTGTGCGTGTGTGGGTGTGTGTGGGTGTGTGTGCGCGTTTGTGATTGTGTTTGTCTGTGTGTTTGTTTGGAATCAAATATAGATCGGAAGCCGACAGAATGAGGAGATAAAGATGAAATAGGAAATGTTTATCAATCTAATATGTTTCACGTTTAATATAACTTCATCATAGACTGGGATATGGGTTAAGAGAAGAAATATATTCTGATACGTTTACATTTGTGTTGGTTACTCTTCAATGGTTTATCATGTAATATTATTTTTTGTATGGATGGATAAAAACTTCTATTACACGACTGAGCAATGAAAATCAAACAACACAAAAGTAAAAATACCAGAATTGATTAATTAATTCATCGCATTCTTTAAGGCCTACAGAGAGAGAATGAGAAAGAATAACACGAGTCAGTGGGAAGGGAGGCCAATATTTCCCCCTCTCTCTCTCTCTCTCACTCTCTCACTTTCTCCTCTTGTCTCCCCCATTGTCTGTTCCGACCTAAAGATTGCATTTATGCATAAAACCGACTGTCACTGCTATATGTTGATCTTAATGTCCAGTTTTATATTTACCTGATAATGAGCACTTTTACCTATAAATATAGCACACCTTAAAATAATTTTATCATTATACATATATATATATATATATATATATATATATATATGTACTCGACTCTCCCGTCGAATTCGACGTATGAGGGTCAAGCAGATCAGTTCCCAGGAAACCGACAGCCCGACACCAGCACATGAGATTTGATTATAGTGGTGAAGGTTTTGTGCAGGACCATCCACACTTTTTGAAGGGCCGAATACAGAGACCTGGTGCACTACGTGCCACAAGGTCCCCAAACGAGTAATGGATAGCGGCTTGGATTGAGGAGCCGAGTTCGAATTCCAGTGGAATCCATTACATTCACTTACGTGCTAATAACCTTGGTAAAGGTGTGAATCCTCTTCTTCTCCCTCCAGCTATGGGTAAATAGCGGGACGGACTGGGTTCTATAGCCTTGAGTGGCAACTGGTCTAGGAGAAGGACAACTCTGAATATATATATATATATATATATATATATATATATATATATATATATATATATATATATATATATATATATATATACGTATGTATGTATGTATGTATGTATGATAAAGAACAATAATAAATCTTCGTCAGGTGATCAAGTTAGAAATGATAAAAAGCAAAAAGTAATGAAGTAACAGATAATATTTGAATTCCAATACTATCTGTTACTCCATTACACGTGACACGTATCTAGCCAATAGGATCTAACCAAGCACAACATGCTATTCATCTGCGTCTCTTTGCCTTTTTATCATTTCTATCTAGTTCTTTATTCTATCATTTGTTGGTTTCCTATCCATACTCGATCTGTATTTGATCTTCTACACACACTCTCTCTCTCTCTCACACACACACACACACACACACACACACACACACACACACACACACACACACATATATATATATATATATATATATATATATATATATATATATATATATACAGTCTGGTAACTCCAGTCTCGAAGTAGGACTTCCTTAGAGTCTATGTGCTTGTCACTGTGACTTCTACAAGCGGTTACCTCACACTATTACTCTATCTCCAACTCAATCACAATCACTGCTCTTTCTCTGACTGACTCTGGGTATTTAACGGCAGCAGTCCAGGTACACACTAGAAAAGAAATCTCTTTCTCTCTCTCTAAAAATATATATATATATATATATATATATATATATATATATATATAGTAAAAAAAAAGAAAGAACAGTAAGATATATATTCTGGTGTTCTTATTGTTTTTTTTTTATTTTTACAAAACAGTGCTCAATGTAAATTTACAGAGCATAAATATTATAAATTAACTGATTTAAAAATATGGTTTCTTAGCTACACAGGAATTACCATGTTTCAAAAACAGAAACTAACAACTTCAAATTCAATTATTTAATTAAATTAAAAGCACTAATTCTTTTTCATTTTCAGTGCGTTAAAATACTAGTTTTGTTTCATTTTCAGTTAATTTATAATATATATATATATATATATATATATATATATATATATATATATATATAACATTCCAATTTTAAGATCAGATCAAATATACCATTTTATTAGAACCGACGACCGTTTCTGACCATTTTTTAAAACGCTTTATTGCAAGAAATATATCTTTTAGACGTGTGTGTGTGTGCGTGTGTGAGTAGATGGAAAGTCTTTTTATACACTGCATCAAAATCTTATTAAACAAAAATGCATACATGTATTTATGTGTATACTAAAAAAAGAAATCATAGCTCAAAGCAAATGAAACTTAGGAAATGGCATCTACTAAAATTAGCTTATTTGTTCCGTTAAAATTCTAAGTTCAAAAACTTAATCTATTTTATGCACTTTGAATCTAAAGCTATTTTTATGTCTCATGTCAGCAGGTGGAGCCAACTCTCTGGTCACAATCAAAGACAGAAAGGACTTTTGTCATGTCTAGCTTTATTTTAAAATATTAAAAAAAACGTAACAGCAGCTCTGTTTTAAGCTAGGGAAGGTTACTGAATAGAATAATCAAACAAAGGTTTGTAATGAACGATAATACTTAGGACACGAACAACACATATAAGATTCGCCAGCGGCGCGTAGAAGTAGTAGTCGACTACTAGAAATGAATTCCACAATAAATCTCCAATTGCAGGATATCTACCAACCACACCACGCGGTCAAATGTGACACAAGGCCAAATTTAATGTGGGGATCCGAGCCCGCAGGCTCAGCCAAAAATTCCCCGTAGATCCCCGTATAAGACGGGGTCGGGTAGGTGTTTCCCCGAGACGAGACTCTGCCCTTCGACATCGCCTCGTCTGAGGATGCTCTCTGCCCGGAGGCAGAGAGTTTAACCAGCCCAGCTGAAGACGAATGTCCAACTGCAGACCAACATACAGTATTTACTACTGTATTTAGGTGAATGGAGACATACCGATTATCGTCCGTAGGTCTGCTACAACAATCTCTCTGGCACACTAAAAATCCATGTTTTCTAAAAGAAAACCTTTTTCTGTTTTTTTTTTTTTTTGCCTTGAGTTATGTTTCCTACTTGTTCTTTATCATACATACATACATACGTATATATATATATATATATATATATATATATATATATATATATATATATATATATATATATTCAAAGTTGTCCTTCTCCTAGACCAGTTGCCATCCAAGGCTATAGAACCCAGTCTGTTTTGCTATTTACCCATAGCTGAGAGAGATTCACACCTTTAACAAGGGTATTAGCACGTAAGTGAATGTAATGGATTCCACTGGAATTCGAACTCGGCTCCTCAATCCAAGCCGCTATCCATTGCTCCGGGGGGTCGTTTTTGGTGACCTTGTGGCACGTAGTGTACCAGGTCTCTGTAATCGGTCCTCAAAAAGTGTGGATGGTCCTGCAAAATCGACCTGCCTTTTAGGACCGTAGAACCAATTTGAAATAATTATAAACGACATTTTTTTTTTCAAATCGTTACCGTTTTTGAGGAAACGAGTTTAAAGATTAAGCTTAGGTTTAAAATTGGAGCCTAGGAATTTAATTCCGGTAATCAGTAAATAGACTAATATTGTAGTTGTCAGGAAAGCATCCTCTCAGGAGTTTCCTCCAGAAAATATATAGATGTAGGGAAGAAGCTTATCAAAGGAACACAAAAGGAATGGGGATAGTTTGCCAAATTGAACATGGCATCGCAGATTCCAGCCGTGAAGGTCTGGGGTTGGTGGGACTAAAGAATATAAATCGTCCGGACACCTGACATAGTAATGGCGATATAATCGTCAGAGACTCGTCCGTGGGACAAGGATAACAGGTTGGGGAGGGATTCATCACCTACAAGGCCGCTAGGCAGTGAGAATTGTGAAGCACAAGCTCCTTTATGTTAGCAATACACCATTCTTCGTCGGACGTGGCTCTTGTAAGGATAGAGATCATGGCAACAGGAATTTTTCTGAAGTGATACATATAACTGACCGTTCTTTCAGCATATTTTGCGACGGCACAAATAGAAACGATACACTTGAGGTCAGCAGTAAACTTTAGACCAAATAGGCAAGGGACATCATTAAGGGTTTGACCACTTGTTAGGATTAGTGCAGATTAGGGTCTACTAGATGCTGATGAAATGTTGATGGAATTACTGTTTGATGGCAAGTATCTCCCCGGTCTTATATGTTAATCTGAGGTATATGATGGGCCAATTGTCATCCTGACAATTGGCCCATCATCAAGGTCACCAAAAACGACCCCCCGGAGCAATGGATAGCGGCTTGGATTGAGGAGCCGAGTTCGAATTCCAGTGGAATCCATCAACTATGGTCCTCCAGGAGGGAATATGAATAACGCAGTTAGAATATTGTATAATGGACATTTTGAATAGAAAATTAAGATAACAACAGTTATTCTACGGTTTAATGATCTAAACTCGAATCTGAAATTGTTAAATGTCTATGAATAAATTGTAATTGTTGATTTTAGTATAAATCAGCTGGCTACGGAGAGAGAGAGAGAGAGAGAGAGAGAGAGAGAGAGAGAGAGAGGGGGGAGTTAAAAATAGAGCGAGTGACAAAAAAGGAATGATACATAGATAGATAGTAAGGAACAGGCAGATATATATATATATATATATATATATATATATATATATATATATATAGTAAGGAACAGTCAGTCAGATAGATAGATGGCAAGGAATAGATAGATAGATAGATAGATAGATAGATAGTAAGGAACAGACAGACAGACAGACAGACCCATAGATAGATACATAGATACATAGATACATAGATAGATACTAAGGGACATATAGCTAGCTGGGCAGATAGGTAGATAGATATATACATAGATAGATAGATAGTAAGGAACAGACAGTCAGACAGACAGACAGACAGACAGACATAGATAGATGGCAAGGAACAGATAGATAGATAGATAGAGAGATAGATAGATAGCAAGAAACAGATAGATAGATAGATAGATAGATAGATAGTAAGGAACAGACAGATATATATATATATATATATATATATATATATATATATATATATATATATATATATATAGATAGATAGATAGATAGATAGATAGATAGTAAGGAACAGACAGACAGACAGACACATAGATAGATAGATACATAGATATATACTAAGGAACATATAGCTAGCTAGCCAGATAAATAGATAGATAGTGTTACGAAGTGGCAACATACGGATGTGAACTCCCTGGTTAAAAAAAAGAAAGAGAAGATGTGATCGCTCAGATAGAAACGCCTAACACAAGTGTCAACGAACAACAAACACAGGATGTAAGTTTAAAAAAAAAACAATTTTATACAAGAAAACAATTGTACAGGGAGTGAATATGTACTAGCAGGCGTAAGATCCATAAAATACTGGATATCACACCGATTATCCATGAATACTGATTTCATAAGTTGAAGTGTTCATTATAGCAAATAGGCTCTTAAGAATGTCGGAATGAAAATCGGTAATCATTCCTTCTGCAATATAAACAGGGAGATTCCAGAATTCTTTTCATATATATTAATCGAAATACATCCAATATTGGGAAGATTTTTTTTTCAGGAATATGACTTCCTTTATCGGTACAAATCTTATAATAGAATAAATCCATAGGTGCATTTCTAATGAGCGAACGAGACAGTTTATTCGCAACTTGACTTAGTGGGAGATCTTCATGAAAACTGAAAATATATTTCAAAAATCACACTTGGCGGCGCATGTCACGTGACACCGGGTGACCGACATTTACTTATTCCATTGAGAGGTCAAACTGTCTGGTTGTTAAGCGATCCAGATTCTATCCCGCCGCCTCTCAGTCTAGACATGAAATAAACGAAAAGAAGAAAGAAGAGAGAAAGAGGAAATACAAAGAAAGTGTGTCCTTTTATACATTGATCATACGCCTGATTTTAATTTAAATATTGAGGGCAATGTCGCTATAAATAGATAGATAGTAAGGCACAGGCTGATAGGTTGACAGATACATTGATAGATAGTAAAGAACATACTGATAGATAGATAGATAGATAGATAGATAGATAGATAGATAGATAGATAGTAAAGGAACAACCCGATAGATATATAAATAGATAGATAGTAAGGCACAGGCTGATAGGTAGACAGATACATTGATAGATAGTAAAGAACATACTGATAGATAGATAGATAGATAGATAGTAAGGCACAGACTGATAGATAGGTAGAAAGATACATTGATAGATAGTAAAGAACATATTGATAGATAGATAGTAAGGAACAAACCGATAGATATATAAATAGTTAGATAGTAAGGCAAAGGCGGTTAGGTAGACAGATACATTGATAGATACATAGTAAAGAACATACTGATAGATAGATAGATAGATAGGATTTCGACAATAATTGAACGCTTTCATTTCTTCCTAATATTTTAACATTCCTGGAAACAAGGTCATCATCGAATAGGAAGGCATTTTTTACTTTTCTTTTTGTTCACTGACATTGAGGTGGGTGTAGATTTACTGGAATTCGGAAGCCATTATGGTTGTTGGCGGGTCACAATGGAAATTCGCTTCCTCTTTTTTTTCAGTTGAAAGGGCCAAATATTTGAAATGATGGGAAAATCTTCCGTAATGTCTATGGGGAAGTACGGTAACCCTTTTCATATAGCCACATTAACCAGTCCCACCGGACAAATTCATTGTGTAAATGGAGAACGAAACGGAAAGACATACTTTCGTGTATCTAGATTCCATACAACGACTGACAATGGGCGTAACGGAATTATTAAATGTTTCCATTGCCTGGGTGGTAAGGCTGTTATTGGAAGCTGAATTATCTAAGTGCATACTTATGAAGGATCTTCGTTTAATTTCGTGGTAAATCATCTATGAGGAAAGATATCGTAAAAAATAGTAAGCAGGGATGTGTGAATTCGTGAGAAATAATAGAAATAGATATATTCATTTTTCTCATAGCTAGGCCATGACATGTACACGGAGTTAACTCATCCTCGTTCCTTTCGTATTCCATTCGTAAAGAGGAAGTTTTCCTTCCTCTCCGTCCCCTTTCACTACGATCTTCACCTCTTCAAGTCTTGAGTCAACCATGATCTATCCTACATATACACATCATGTAGATTTCTTGCTTCCCCTTTTTACGAATTTGCAACGAACTTATTGAGTAACTCTCTACATTGAGTGGCTCTTGGGTCTTTTATTATGGAAACAATGGCATAAAAAGTGAGATTAGATCGAATTGAACACAGGAAGTCATAGTCAGCTAGGGAATGGTCAGAAGAAAAGGATGTGAGTTCATGCTTTTTCATGGGGACAAAGTTGTACCTTTCCCAAGGGGAATAGTGCTAACTGTACAGAAGTAAGAGGATTGGGTTTATGCCTTTCAATGGAGGATTAGATCGAACTGGATATAATAACTCGTGACTGATCAAAATAAAGGGATATGGATTCCCATCATTTCCAGTAAAATGGGAACAGTCTAAATCAATTAGCGATGGGAACGATCAAACAACAATATGGCGCTAAATTCCCGAACTCACACTTTAATCTACTAGGCTATTACCATGCTGGAAATCTTGAATGTAGAACTTGGAATCTTGGGAGTTCACTGGGTCAGGTATATTTACTCGGCATCTCCACGAAGGCAGGATGTGGTAAAAGGTCGTTTTAACATAGGGAGCACCATACAGATACGAATGCATATTGACCAAGGAGAAATTTTTTTGCCCATTCCCCGTGACCGCTGCCATGTTTGCATCGACACTACACCGACCCTACCAACCTCTTTTACTGAGGGTGAAGAAAGTGCTGATGGCAGGGGTTGGAATCTCTGGCACCGAGCGCCTTCACCTTCCTAAATAATGCAAATAGATACAATTTAAATTCTGCGTCTCATACGGAATGGATTCAGTGAATATTATGCGCCTTATACACAGTGAATCGTACATTGTCGTCCTTAACCTTTTTTTTTTGAGTCACGAACCCTTTGCCTCCCCGATTCCTATATGCACTAGACTTTTATAGACAAACAGACAGACGAGCAGATATTCACAGCAAAACTTTCGCAAAACTTGTATGTGCATTTCTCCATACTACATTCTCATGCAGACTGTAAACACTTCAATTTTCAACCAACTACATACTTGTAGGAAATACACGTATAATAGCCTCATCCACATTTAAAAAAAATTTAAAAATAATGGAAGCACTTATAATAAAAAAGAAAACGCCAACAATCAATAACATCAACTATGAACACGTTCACAATGTGCTGACCGTGTTTGGAAAATAAAACATTCCTATAATTCTAGATACATACAGAAAAAAAAAAAACATACATGCAGTTAAAATTAAGAAAATAAAGATCATCCTCGATAATAGCTGAAAGAATTGCTGAAAGTGTTCGAATATGTAGGACAATTTTTAACACTTTAAGTCTAGAAAATAAAACACACGAACACATGAAAAATTAAATACAAAGCTTAATCGCAGTAATTTGTTAGTCGTCTTTAATGCAACTAATGAAACCTCTATAACCATTTTCATTCTCAAGAGAGCGAACGAGAATTCATCCTCCGCACACTTTCCTTTAAAGAATTAAATAACGTAAAGCAAACGTTTATTAGTAACGGACTACCTAAAAAGTTGTTGGATTTCCATATTAGGCTTATATATTTTTAGACATTTTTATGTTTATACGTTCTTTTTATAGATATACATACATGTATGTAATATATATATATATATATATATATATATATATATATTACATACATTTTTGTGTTTATACGTTCTTTTATAGATATACATACATGTATGTATGTATATATATATATATATATATATATATATATATATATATATATATAGAGAGAGAGAGAGAGAGCGAAAGATAGACATTGTTAAAATTCACTGTATTTATAGATGACTAATTATCGATGTCGAAGATAGAGAGTTTATAAAAATAAACTGTGTAATTAACATTGCATTATGTCTGTGAGCTTACGTTTTCCAGCGTAAAACATATATATATATATATATATATATATATATATATATATATATTTGTGTGTGTGTGTGTATGTTTTTCAAATCAAATATGCAGAATAGCAAAGTGAAAATCATCATTCAATTTGTGATTAACTCCTCAGACATCATCGATTTGATTCCGCCATCAAAATGCCAATGAAAATCTGTTTTGTTTTGCTATATTTTGTTTTATGAATTGGGACGACTATGAATAATGAGAATATCTGCAGGATATAATCGGCAAATAGCCATCTCGATGTCAAGAATAAATCTGAGGTCACGTTGATGCTTCTGCTAATCAAGATAATTCCAAGAGACGAAAAATGTCTCCCGTGTTTGTGTGTGTCTGTCTGTCTCAGTAATAATTAATCAGTAACCAATAATGAGTTAAGAATTAACAAAATTATTGTTATATGTAAGTGATAGAGATTTATTAGGATTTGAATAACCATTCATTATAGTAATTCACCGAATCGAGAAGAATCCTCAACAGAACGCAGAAAGCACAAGACGGCACTTTCGTCCTATTTGGGGACTCCTTGTCAGTGAGCATCCACTACCGATAACCGAACCCGGACTGTTACGATACCGACGCATACAAAAATATCACTGGATCAATGGGCCACGTAGACAAAGAAGAAACTAACTAGACTCAATATAGCGTAGCTACTCACTAAAATCCGGGGGTGAGACTCAATGAAAATATAGAGAACCCAACAGTTAGTGCCCCAAGAGCAATGTCTTCTTACAACAATCCGCTCCCTCAAGAGCATTAGAAGCGGGAGCAAACAAGGATATATAAGTGATAGAAATATCTATTTCAATTCTCGGTAATATATATATATATATATATATATATATATATATATATATATATATATATATATATATATATATATGATTATTTATTTAAAAATATGATTCCAACACGCTACATAAGAGTTCTCATGTTTCAAAACAAGAGCCGAAAACTTCAATATAATTATTTGAATTAAATTGAATTAAAGTACTAAGCTCTGTCCCATCTTCAAGCGAAACTTTTGGGAATAACTTATTTTTAAAATTTACGCGTTTTATAAGCATATTCATTATTGAAATCAAAATTTCTATGGTAACGGCTAGAGCAATTGTTTAAAGAAAAGGGGCGCAAGATGTTAATAATTTAGTTAATAATTTATATATATATATATATATGTGTGTGTGTGTGTGTGTGTATATATATATATATATATATATATATATATATATATATATATATGTATTTAGTTGGATTGATGTAAGTCTGTGACCCTGGGTTTCACGCTATTTACTATACTATTTTCACGCTATTTACCAGGGTCACAAATCACATCAATCCAACTAAATATGTTAGCTCTATCACTGATACTGACGGCGCTTTCCAATAAGTACCAACGCATATATAATATATAAATAATATATATAAAAATTGCATATATATATATATATATATATATATATATATATATACAAATTATATATATATATATATATATATATATATATATATATATATATACATACAAATTATATATATCTATATATATATATATATATATATATATATATATATATATATGTTATACATTTACTAATTTAAAAATATGGTCCCATCGTTATGCAGGAATTACCATGTTTCAAAAACAGTACCTAAAAACTTCAAATTTAATTATAGATTTAAGTTAAAATCTCTAGTAATGTTTCATTTTCAAGCGAATTTTGAAATATTTATGCTCTGCAGAATTGTATTGAGCACTGTTTTTTTGAAAATAAAAATAATTAATACGAACACCGGATTATAAATATTACTGTTCATTCTTTTCATCTTAATACATACACACACACACACACACACACACACACATATATATATATATATATATATATATATAGCTAGCTAGCTAGATAATTGTTGGGGCGCACCCACCTTCTAACTAGTAATGGACTGGTCCCTCTTATATAAGTCAGCTCTGGAGAGAGAGTGACAGAGCGTCAGAGAGAGAGTCAGCGTTAGCAGTCCAGATAAGCTTACCCGGTACATACGGTTGGACTATAGACTTTGGATATTGTTTCGTACTAACCAACCTTCGTTCTACTAATCACTCTATTGTTAATTGCTTTTATGAATATACCAGTATTTTCCTCTACAACTGTGTTTGTCTTAATTCATACACCGACACGCGGGAAACTCACAACATCTCAACAATAATGATGTTATTTGGTGATCCGTATGGATAATTTCAAGGCAGTTGTAATCCAGAGAGCTCAATGTAAAAACAGAGCATATATTAATTATATTAAGAAACAGAAAAAATATTTCTTCATGGGATTATGATTAATTTCCTTAGGAC